CGTGAATTGTATTTGGGTTCCCCGCGGGAAGAGGTCACGCGTGTAGCGGTCACGCGTAGTTACACACATGCCAGGCTTTCATATTAAATTTTCCTTTATAGATTGTCTCACATAAAGGGACGTTACCACGCGTGTCTTGCTCTCTTGTAAACTGTAGCCACTGCTGCCGTATGGCCCGTGTTTGTTTCACTAACACGAGGAGTACGCTGGAGGAGAAAACAAGCCCACATTTGCCTGAAAACGCCTACGTCACAGATGGCGCCGTCCGCTACACGTCAGCACATTCATTCATGGTACCGGGTCCAGTACAGCTGATTGTAGTATCGATACCAAGTCAATGCAGGACCGATACCAATACTATTGATCTACACCTTATGTAGGGGAGCACGTGACATGACTCATCACAGGTGTGCAGATTCCGAGCACACCTTAATGACCACTAAATCACTGTGATTCTACAATAATAAATAACAATGAAAACACACCTTTGGTGTCTGTTTCCAACACACAGCTCAGGCTGTTTAAACGTGCTGTTGGCTATAAACAAGACACAAGAAGATTCAGACATTTTTCATACTGTTTTTTAATTCACAAAAAAATTATAATTCAGTGAATTTAGAAGATAGAAACAAAGTATCTATCGCACTACTATCGATCCAGTATCAGTTCCAGTGTTGTTGTCGATACTATTAATAATTGGATCAATGTGCCGCCTCTAATTCTTGTATACAGATGTATAGTGCTGTTTACCTGAGTACCTGAGCACACAGTTGAGCTGTAGCATCATTTCTGAGTGTGTGTAACCACACTTGCGAGTTTCCATGCATTAGTTAACTATAACTGAATATATGATCGAATGTTATGTTGTCTGTCTGTCAAACTGATCTTCATCTCGATCTTTGTGACCATTCTTTGGAACAGATGTACTCTCTCTCCCTTCCACTTCCTGTCTCTGCCTAATGTTTTTCATGTTTGCGCTTCTATTTTTCACAAACACACGCACGTGTCTCATTGTCATTTTTGAAGTGGATTGTGAAGACCAATATAGGCTATCTATTAATTTAAACACTGGAATCCAAATAAATATTTTAAAAAATGCAAGGAAAACCATTAGCACTGCAGGTGAGCTATTTGTTAACAGTTGTCACGATTCTCATCACAAATTAGCACTTCTGGTGTAAATATCTCATGAACAAGAGAAAGCCATGCAGGTTCATTGTAATGGAAAACTCAGACTGAATACATAATTCCCAAGTCACAATATATGTCATCCACAGCAGTATATTCAATTCAATTTATTTACACAGCGCCAAATCACAACAACAGTCACCTCAAGGTGCTTTATGTTGCACAGTAGACCCCACAATAATACATACAGAGAAAAACCCAACAATCATATGACCGCCCATGAGCAAGCACTTTGGCGACAGTGGGAATGATATGCTGTGTGCAGGCAGTTGAAGAGGACCCAAAACGCTGGACTCAAAACTGCACTTTATTGCAGCCTTGGGAGAAATATAAAACAATAACAAACTAAACTGGGAAATCCAAGACTATAACTCACGAGAAAACACACATGACGAGAGGGGAACCAACATTAACGACACAACAACAAGAACTAACTGACAGGGACTAAAATACACTGGCAGGCACATGAGGAAACGAGGAAGAGGTGGGCACACAGCTGGGACTCATGGACATAACGAGACACAGACCTACAAAGTAAAACAGGAAACACACAGATTATTTTACAACACAAAACTCAGGGACCCGAACAGAGCACAGAGGGAAGACACAGGTAAGGATCAGAAACATGAAGTAGAAAGTAATAATAATAAACTCAAAGCGCTGGGTCACCGATTCAGGACCGTGACAGGGAAGGAAAAACTCCCTTTTAACAGGAAGAACCTTCGGCAGCATAACTAAGGGAGGATTCAGGGTCACCTGGTCCAGCCCTAACTATATGCTTTAGCAAAAAGGAAAGTTTGAAGCCTAATCTTGAAAGTA